GGGGGGGGGGGGGGGGGGAGGTTCTCGTGATGAAGACGCGACTCCTCCATCGTTCAACAAAATCAGGCATCCACTGAAATGTCGAGAACGTAGTTGGTCGTGTTCGGCCAACCAGAAACAAGTACTAAATTCCCTACGAACGACAAATAACGGGAGAGGCGATGGTTTCGTGCGGTGCCTCGCCGTCGGTATTGGCGACATCTTTTATATTAGGGGGGGGGCACAGCAAACAAGACATGGTTTCGTCGGTATTGGCGACACAATTGAAAAGGGGTGCCGCAAGGCAGGCGCATACATCACTCGACGTTTCGGCAGCACACAGCATGCAGCATGCAGCATGCAGCACACACAACCCAAAGGAGGAGGAGCTTGTGGGACATGGGAGCAACATGTCCGCGCTACTGTTGCTGCTGCTGCTGCTGCTGCTGTTCCTCCAGGTAGTTGACGGCACAAAAGCAGTAAAAGCAAAAAAAACGAGCAGCTAGCCGTCGAAGCGGCAACTTTTGGTCATGATCACCGGACGCTACAGATGGCGCTCGCACTGAAGAACTTAGCAGTTAAGAAGCGCAGCCTCGAAAAAATCAACATTTAAGGACATGGACATGAGAACACGTGCTCAGTTCCGACGCGGTATTAAGAACAAGAATCCGTATTTGTGGTGTACCAAAGCGCTTACGGATAAGAATAGACCCCCAAAAGGTGGCAGCTGCAAGATAAGAACTCATAAAGGTGGTGAGGGGTGACTCACGGGGTGTCCGGTGACCCCACCCACCGGCAGTTTCAGATCAGCGACGAGGAGGGGGATCTCTGAGCCGCGGAGCGAGCGAAGCGAGCGACTTTTTTTCCCTTCGTCCCCAGGAGGGAAAAAAAGGCTCTTCTGTATCGCCGAAAGTTGCGCCGCGCGATACAGGGGCCCCAAAACTTGGTTTCCGGGAAGCCTTTTTAGCACACCTTTGGGACCAGAACGAGATCTATAGGGCACCGATTGACGATCTGCTCGCTTCTGAGGAAGAAGAAAAATAGCGCGCTCTCTCTACACCGGTTTCGTCGTGCTCCGAGAGCAGATGGCCGTGTTTCACCGGCATATGTAGCCTAAATTCGTAGGAGATTTCGCTCCCCAACCCCGGGGTTTCTACGCGAAAAGGCGTGCACAAAAGCGGAGATCGCGCGCGCGCGCGATTCAGACCAGGACAAGAAACACAGACAGAGACTGCTGAGACGCTGGTCTGAGACCAGCTATGAAAAGCAGGAGGGGCCGGGCCTATACGACCTGTGCACCTTGCGTATACTGTGTAGGCATGCGCCATGTGTAACCTGGCGGGTATGTATTGATGCTAAGTGGGTCCAACCAACTGATTCAAAAAGAGCAGCCCGATGATAACACAAATAACACACCTTCCCAAGTCCAGATTACACTTGTAACATCATCGAGATAATCCGTCGAGGGCGTGAGGGTCTAAAATACTACTGCTGCTGCTGTGCGTTATCAGGATGGTTCCCCGCGGGATCGGTTCAGGTTTTTGCGTACTTGCGCCGCGCTACTGACTGTCCTCGCAAAGAAAGCCGTGCCCTGCATGCTGTTGTTGCTGCTGCAGGGCTGCAGCAGGGCCTCTCGGCCTATCGCGTCAAGTCATGACGTCACACGACCACGAACGGCTTTTTGTTGTTTTTGGTTCATGCTGGACTGCTTGCGTTCACTTGGGCGGGAAACTCGGAAGGCTTGAAACGAATGTGGCGGGCAAGTTGTGAGCCTGACGCAATATCTGCCATATTTCGTGTCTACGCTGCTGGTCATGCTCCTCGACCGTGTGATGTGTGATACGCTCGCCGCCAGGGGGATGATGCCTCATGTCTGTGTGCTTCTTCCAGATGCGCAGATGTGCGCGTTTGCGTCCGCACAGCGGGAAGACTTCACATTCTGTTTCTCTGTGCATTTGCATCAAAACGGAAAGCAACAACCGCATGTAAAGTGCAAAATCTTGGACGGTGGCCGCACATTCAAAACAATCATCGTCGCTCCCGTCGCACGCCTGCTGTCCCTCTGTGGTGCACGCGTAGCTACACCACACACGATTCACGCTGGTGTGTGTCGGGATTCGTGCACCATCAGTATCGCAGATAAGACTGCTGCAAGGTATTGAGTCGCACCACGCGGATCATTACCCCCCCGTGCCTAGTGCTGGTGCGGACGGGCGGGAAGGGGGGGGGCGTACTCTTATGTTTTGCACATCTTGGTGGTTAGACCATTGACCACGTGTCCTCGAGAGGACGGAGTATCGTTCCCACAGGACCAAAGACCGATGGCCAATCGTTCCCTCCTACTTCACCAAAAAAAGTGCCTCAATAATGTTTTCCCTGGCCTATCTATCCTCCTATCGATATCACTTCCCGCCTCTTCAACCCACCATGTTCTATGCCCCGGTACNCTCAGTCACGTAAAATCTCCTCTCCTTGTACAACAGACATTCCGCAACTACATGAACCCGGTGTTCGCACTCGGAGCCACGTTCACATTTTGCCTTGGTCGGTGAGGTGGGGGGGGGGGGTAGGTGCTTCTAGCTTTGTTGAACGAGGCATGCCCCTCGTCGCATGTCATTGGGGTGCCTGCCACGCTGCGTGCCAAGCACGAGAGCCATGTCTATACCCGTTGACACATTGAAAGAGCTCGGCCATCTGCCAAAAGTTGAAAGGAGGTGTGATTCTGATCGACACTTGTAGAGGCCATCAAAGAACATGCTATTGCTGGCAACTGCCCACGACGTCAGACTAGGAAGCCATCGAGTCGACGCGGGGGCGACGATAGCTTTCCGGCACCTCTTCCTTCCTCGCACCCACCGGTTTTCGAATTCAAGCGTCTATACCCGCTGCACTTGACAGTTCGTCCTGAATGTGGAGTACTCGTGAAACTGAGCATGGGCTGATTTGGTGAGCTGGTCACCCGGTAGGCCTCCCGCCACTGTTTGCGACTACGGTGTGCATTTCGAGCTACATGTACAGTAGACCAAAGTACGCGCCGCATGATGCCGTTGGACAAGCACAGTGGAGATGACGGTGCGGTGGTAGGGTCGTGGGCTTTGCTTGAGGGGAGCGCGCCGTAGAGCAGGGATGGATGATGAGGTCCGGCATTCGAGGAGTAGGGTAAAGGTCGCAATGTAGCTACGACGGGCGTTGGTAAATAGAGCGGGGAGGACAATAACGCCGAACGTGAACCTTGTGGACCTCTAAATGGTCCAACGTGTTTGCGCAGATGCGACAATAATTCAGGCGATACCGCGTCTGTTTAACTCGATTCCAGAGGTCGCTGTTGAGCGAGGTTCATTATTGTACTCTGTTTTACGCATATGAACACGCTGCTCTCAAGTGTCAGGTTGAATCCACCCAGAAAAAAAAAAATGCCCTCTGAATGAGGCCCTCGGCGTACAAATATAAACAAGAACCCCGTGCATCAGACGAATATGTCTGCTCGACATAAGCACTTTGAAAATAAGAACAGGTGCTCAATTTGAGGCAGCCAATAAGCATCGAGCCTTGGCCAATATGAGCGGTTCTTAAGTGCGGGCGCCACCTGTATACCCAACGCACAGCAACAAGAGAGGTTGCCACTGTACATTACTCTATTTATAATACACCCCCTTTGCTGTTGGTGATTGTTGTTGTTGGCGTGGCTGGTGTGAAAGGACTGCCGCGCAGATAGAAACATGTGCTCTTTTTCTTGCCGTTCGTTGGGAGTTCGCGAAACATCGTACCCAACAGGACGGTAGAAGGGCTCTTAGTCTCACTCACACAGGCGCGACCTGTGGCATTACACATGTACAGACTTGTGCATGACTCGTACTCCATAAACTTCCTGCTGTTATTGACGGTGGCGTGGTGCGGCAGGACTGCGCAGAGTGAAAGTGAGAGCCAGACCCCTTTCATGCCGTTGGGAATTATACACGGACGGGCGATGACATCGTATCTCTACACTATACAAGCAAGCGCGGATCTAATCGATCTCATGGCAGCACCGCCTCCTCCTACATGTTCGCTGCCCAAATCACCGCTGTGGCTGCTGGCCTTCCTTGCTTTTGCGAGTGTGTGTGTGCTTGCTGATGTGCATGGATGGACATACATGACCGCTGACCGCACATATCTTTGAGGTTGAGATGCTGGGGGCTGACATTTTTGCGCATTGCCACACATACAGCATCGAGTGGGGATAAAGGGACGATTATTCAAAGCAAAGACAGCTAGCAAGCTAGCCTCCTGCTTTCTGGTCACCTACTGCAGAAATCCGCTTGTGAATCGACGTCGTGGTCGTCGAGATATCAACAGTTTCGCGGAGAGAGAGCCGTGAGAAAAGGCCTGAAGCTTCTTCTTTTTCTTCATTCTTTATTTTCCATGCGCTATCAGTAAAAAATCCCCGCAAATCAGCTGAAAATCTGGAAAATCTATCACAGCGCCGCGACAACTGCTGACAACACGGAAAATCTGCCCCCCAGGAGGGAGGTAAAAGTAGGGGATTTTGTATCCATAGGGTTTGGTTGTTCGGTCTCGCCTTGGTGGTGATGGCCTCTTCGAGCGCCGCCGATGCCAGGAGCACGGAGGAGTTCGTTGAAACCTCCACCACCAATGATGTCGAGTTCAGCCCGATAAGGTCTGGCACCTGCGGAACCCGGTCAAAGAAAATCATGCAATGAGATTGCAAATGGCGTAGGGTTGGGTCGGGGGGGGGGGGGGGAGAGGAGGGTCCTCAATCGTTTTCTGCAGGAATCGATGGCGCATTGCAATCGGGGTGGAACATCACTTCTATGGAACTGCTAACAGGGGTACCACCATCGAAGGGGCCCTACGGAGGAGAGAGAGGGGGGGGAAAGGGCAACCAATCAACGACACACGAGAAGACGAGGAACAGACAAGGTACCTGTCGTCGGCATTTGGGTCTGGCAACAAACCAAGCCTAAAAACTCAAAATGCCACTTTTTTCGTCGGACCGACAGGCTAACAGCCATCGAGGAAACAAACACACACACGAAAAAAACTGCACCAAAAAACGAAAAAAGTGACGGTAAACGCAGCCAAAACAAGTACCTTGTCACTTTCCTCTCTCAACCTTCCAGTATAAGAAGGGAAGAGCACATTTGCTCTTTTGTACATACATCCACAAGAAAAAAGTTGTCACAAACTCACGAGGAGGGAGGAGTGTTAGCGGGATAATGAACAGAGCAAGTCGCACAAGATGCGCTAAGGCCTGGGTTAACCAAGCCGTAGAAATGGCGAAATGGCCGGATTTGTCTGTCGGTTTGAACGAGCACGGGGTCCCGCAAGACCCCACTCAAAGGACAACCTGTAGCAAAAACTAAAATCTTGGTCCTTGAACAAATAAGAAAGTAGGGAACTAATCGAGCGCAACGACCTTCCCCTCTCCGCCATCCAGTGAAAAAAATTGGCCAAGCAAAGAAACACAGCAAAATAGTGACCTACACCTCTCACAGATGTTTGGCCACATGACCAAACATGCAACCATACGTGACGCCTGCCCCCAAGCCCTTCTTGTCCATCGGAGGCGGAAAGGGGAGGGAGTACAGCGCCATGTAAGTTTCAAGGGTGAAACGATGTCAAGTAGGACCCACCCCGCGCTGAGTATTCCATCCC